CTGATAACGTCGCGATCTCATTGCGGATAATCGATATTGACAGATGCGTATCGCGCTTGAACTTTGGAATTTTTATCTGGATTGTCATTCTCGTTTGTTATCTCAATTGTCTCGCCGTTCGATTTCAAACCGGTGTATTATTTCGCGCCTTGGTCGTTACTTTTAATACAAGCGCGCAAGTTGCGCCTTACTAAACTTTAAAAACCATATATTTCGTAAACAGTATGCAGCAAAATGTATATTGATCTGAATTTTTATCATTCTTGCGACATAGAAGTCAATATAATAAAGTCTAAAAGTAAATATTAAGAGTGTAAATTAATTTGGTGTCTTTAGTTTTACCCTATTGCTAATAAGCATTTTAAATCTAAACTTTTTCCGCTTAATTGTGGTTGTAAAAATGATCATCTATATTTACAAAATATCACATCCCATATAGCATAAATGTTCACAAGATACCCTAGAGATGCACGGTTCTGAAATAAATCTTGATTTTTTGTAACGAAGGCATTCAATTAATTGACATCTGATAAGAATTTTGCACAAAATCGTCCGAAATTTAGATTGATCGGTCGATTAATGATCACGGAGGAAAAGGTAAATCGGAGGAGAAAACTCGATCGGTTGGCAAGATATTAATTTGAAAATTTCGATTCCTCGGGAATAGCACAGTGAACAACGACACACGTTCGTTCACCTCGGAATGACGATTTCTCTCCGCATGTCCACGTGAAATATTCGCGAATCAGATCTTTTTGTCGAGCGGCGTCGCGGCGCGGATCGTGGGAGAAACAAGGGCTCGCCGTTTTCGAAGGGTCTAAATGTAACCCTAAAACTCGCAGTCGACGGTCGGAAGAATGTATAATTACGAGGCATAAAAGTAACTATCACCCACTCAAAGAGAGGCACTCTCAGGCTGCGCCGGCCGTCCGCTCGTTTTTCGCCGGTCGTCGCACCCACGACTCGCAAATTCCCATCGATCTCTCTCTCTCTCTCTCGGCCGGCTGTTCGGCAATTTTTTCTTCAAACGGCGATTACGAGGAGAGAGAGAGAGCACGCCCGCCCCAATCTCGCTGTAAAACCGTCGTAAGTATATACGCCGCCGTCGAGTGGACACTGAAAAAGTCGAAGAAACGCGTCAGAAACCAATTTCAGGTTGGTTGATCTTCACTCCGAAGAAGTGAACTGAAATGTTCGAAAGACGCCAACTAGGAAGCGAATGTTTATCCTTAAAATTGTAACGCTACGTCGTTATTTCCTAATTCCGATAGAAAAAAATGCGGTCGAGTTCGCGAAGATTGCAGCGAATGGGCAGAAATGCGACGTCGGCCACAATTATTCGACGTTTGTCGAGACTAGAACAATTTGCGTTAGCAATGCGGTCGGATCAGATACGGCATGCATGAAACACCATCTGTCATATCGGATTGTTAACTCGGTTATAGCTCACGCATATCAAATCGTTCAGGGCGCAGCTTAGCCCGGAATGGGCAGCACGGTAATGCGATTTGGATATATGGAGCGTCCTGTGGGATATTAGCGGCTCGGAGCCTTTTCCCTAGCGATGCAATAAATGATATGCATATGTAAATATCGCGGGCATTGAGAATCACTCTAGCGCGGAATAAACGTCACACGGTCGATCCTTTCTTTATTTCCGTGCTGCTCGCATTGAAAAGTTTCATGTGGCGTAAAATTTCAACGAGCATTAAATATATCCACCGATAAAATTGTTCATAATATTGTATGATGTTGGAGGAATGTTCTTCGCGATAGACGTTCGCGCGCGTACGTTTAATTGAAATAATATTCGAGCGACGCGACGAGAAATCCAAACGCGTCTAATTTTCTCCCGCAGACCCGTCTGGCATGATCCTGTTAACAGGATCAAGACTAGCGTTAGCTGAAGGGTTCTTATTATTCGCAATTGCCTTCGATCCTTAGGGACCATGGACCATCCCCTATATTTATTCCCCGCCGCGTCATGAGAATCGTCCTAAAGAGTGGGATGCTCACTTCTGGCCACGTACAATAAGAAAAACTACTTGCGCTTCCGTTTCGGCTGTAGGTTCGTAAAACATACTCGAAAGAATCCGAATTTGCTTGTATATACCGAAATTATCGACTGGCGTTTCAACGAAAATAACAATCGAGCGTCCATTTATAGATCAAATATTAAATCAAACTCCGTTATTTACGGAAACATATGTACAGACTGAGAAATCAATTTGTTACTTAAGGAGAGAAAGAACGCTCGGAAAACTCGTAGATTTCGAGCGACCGATTAGTGTGTGTGTGTGTGTGTGTATTTATCTCATTCTCTTCGAAATCGAATGTATAACGATAAACTTAGTGTTTATTTTATTTTGGCGTTTAACGTTAATTAAATGGAAATTAGACAAACAAGCGCGCGTGTGCATAATGAATTAAACGATCGCACGAAGCTTGACTCCGCAAGTACATGCTGCTCTTTTGCATTTACTCTCCATATGTAATATTATCCAAAATTCACTCGCAGCAATTGCGGAGGAAAGATCCGGTCGATGATTCTCGATCCACTCCGACGTTCCCGCGAAATTACAATTTTACAGGGCGCACGAGATGACGATGAGTCGGAAATTGTCAAAGCTATTTCGCAATTCGCTCTTTCCCATATAGGCTTGCCGGAAGAGAAGCCACCTCGACCTCTTCATCTCGAGCGCGCTTCTATCGTCAGACTAATGATCTGCAAACAGTGTCTTTCAGTTCTCGTTCCTCTCGTTACAAAGTTTTCGTGTCGTGTATGAACAAGGCAGACATCTTGAGAAGTTTGAACAGACAAAAATAAAGTAACCTTTATCTACCATAAACTCCGTTTACGTCATTGTCGGAACTTTGTTTATGCAAATACTCTCTTATGAGTGATTAGTGGTATTCCGTATTGCGATATTTCGTTAATTTAGCTGGAAAATGTATTATAATTTTGATAAATTACGGGAATTGCGGAGGCTGCTGAATCTCCCGTAACACATTTATCATTTTATTCCGTTTGCTAACATTATTATTTTTCTGCGTTATATCACAAGACAGTGTCTATATATATTGGCGCCATCTCTTGGAAAGGTATATCATCTCTTGCGAAGAGAGCGACTTCTTCAAAGGGAATGTACCATCGAGGTGAAGAGCGTTACCTGTTGCAGGCACTCTTTTCATCATAAGATGATTTTCATTCCATCATTACCTTATGTATTGAAATGCATTACCGGTATAGGAATGAATTTTTTCTATTTCAGGGTCTATGCAGCTTCGGAATCTCCTTAATTCGTACTTTATACACACAATCAAGAAAATAATAATTTTACATACAAAAACAAGTCGGAAATGTACAATAGAATATTTTTATTTAATAGTTAATAAATTTAATATTATATGTTTATTATGCCAATTATTTATATTAAATGATATATTAAATTATTAAGTTGCACTACATTACATCTAAAGAACTAAGTAATAATACAATAATATTTATAACGATAAAGATATTACAGAAATAACTTTCGTAATTTATTGATTTATTAATTTATTGATAAGAGAAAATGAGTTCATTTGATTTCAATATGGACTTCGCGAAATTAATCAACGGTAACGGTTTTCGATATCGCGAGATTTTCATGATTTTTACAAAAAAGTATACTTTAATGTATCTCGAATAAAAGTAATTCCAAAGAAATATTGTCAAATTTCGATTTTAACTTTGGGCACCTTCACTCAATTTTTGGCGAAAGAGATACCATTACCACGAATATCACACTATAATATAATATCATAAGTATCATATATATAATCATCAATTAAAAGAAATAATATTACACTAGAATTTTCTTACAAGAATTGTTACGTGCCAGATGAATTTGCTGACATGCAAAATGAAATTGTAATTGTTCGTTTGCAATGTTATATAATCAAAATACGATGAAAATATGATAAAAATATAATATTACTTTATCTTGCTGGATAATTAACATTTTTTGTTCTTTAAAATGTACCTTATTGTAACAATTTGGTCAATTGATCGTGTAATAATTTTATGTATGATATACAAACATTATATTATTCGGAAGAAATAATTTTCTATAATTCGGTTTCCAAGTCGGACCTATTTGATATTTTATTTAATGACATATAATAACATCCTTAGTAATTATTTTATTTTCAGATCTTGTCTTATCATGTATCTTTGATTACTCATAGATACGATAAAAAATAAAGAGCATCAGGCGAACATCGTATAAATGAAATCGTATAGATACGTGCACATGTACTTGGCTATACTAAATTATTTTTCTCGGAAACAGTCACATATGAAATCAATTTACAGTTCCAATTTACTCTTGCACGTAGGATTATCTTACATCGATTATATCAGTTACGGGAAACCTTGTATATCTATCCTATAAATTTAACATGCAACCACAGACGTAATAGAGGTATAATTGTCACGAATGGAACATTACTTCTTATTTTTCCTTCATTATATGCATAAGTTTTCTCTCTTCTATTTATTCTACTAATTAGAACAAGACGTGACATACTTTAGACATCACTTTAGAATTAATTAAGCTCGTATCGCGATCGACATATCGGCGTTATCATTAAATGCAAGAAAACAGAGAAGTGTTTAAGCCAGATAAAAATAATAACTAATTGTGAAACCGTGATCTATATTTCTCAGATAAACGGCAACGGATTTCCCAGGCTTCTAGAAAAATGGCGATTTGCCATTTAAAATCGGAAAAATATGAACGTAATCCACCTTAACGCTCTTATCGATTCGCATTGGAGATAGAAATTGCGGCAATATTGTGTTTTATCGTATACGATATAAAATCGATTAAACTTATATTCAGAAAAGTTACAATCACGTGAACCATATCTATTTTGCTACTGATTCTGAAATATATATAAACTCGGAAATGCAACTTTGCTGGAACCAGTTCTAAGAGGCTTGGTCTACAATCAAGATGCGTGTGTACGTTCTTCTCGTGTTCATCGCTCTGGCATGCGCCGTTCAGGGTGAGTATATAAATTACTTAATAAAAATCTCACGAACAAAATAAACGGGTAATAGCAGCAACTATGAATTTTTTCGATAATTTATCTGACTTATTCGAGAGTAAGTCCCTTTGCTGTTTTTCCCAGAATTTGTCAATAAACTTTTAATTTTCCCAAATACAGCCCATACTACTAAAGTAGGAAAATTGCTTATTTTATTTCGTTAATTTTTAAATTATTGGGAATGATTGGGCCTAAAATATTAAATCATAGGAAGCCACCAAAATTATAATTGCATTCACTGACAATCATATCTTTTAACAAAATAGAAGTAGCAGCAAAATGTACAGAGGATTATTTTACACTACTAACGTCATAGTAGCATTTATTGCAAAAAATAATTTTTTTAACTATAATTATTTCAGTACGAACATAGTCTCCCGCACAAAACAGTTTTATATTTTAGTTATTTAGCCGTAAAATTTCTATTATCGGCAGACTATATCCAGTGACATATATGTTCTTCTCACCGCGAAATATGAAACTAATTTATTTCTGTCTTTTCACACCCTTAAGGAGGTCTAATCCCCCGCATCGTTGGTGGTAAAGATGCTCCCGTCGGTAAATATCCGTATCAAGTATCGTTGAGATTCGCCGGCAGTCACTCATGCGGTGGATCCATTCTTGATGAAAAGAACGTACTGACTGCAGCGCATTGCCTCCAGGGGTACGTTCCAAACAACATTTGTATAAATTGTCGTCCAGTTCTTAGTTTCTCACTTCTTCATATTACTTATTAGGAGAGAAAATTATTTACATTTGTTGAAAGTCCACGCCGGCACCAACTTCCAGAACGAGACAGGCGACGTTTATTCAACGGCATCTATCAAAATTCATAAAGACTTCAATATAGTTCAACTTATTAATGACCTTGGCATCATTCATGTTTCTACACCGATCAAATTCAATGCGAAAGTGCAACCGATACAGCTTACGACTACTAACGTTGATAACGGAGCGTGCAAATTAACTGGATGGGGAAGTACTAGGGTACGTACAGAAAAACTCGCTCTTATTTGCATAAATTTTAATGATAACATAATAATTTATCTTCTTCAGCTCGGTGGATCTACTCCGAACAACTTGCAAGAAATCGATTTGCAAGTATACCCTTACAACAAATGCAAGATAATGCACAGCCAAGTACGGGAAAGCCACATTTGTAGTTTGACCAAAGAAGGAGAAGGCGCATGTCATGTAAGTTTGCATCGATATTATATAGAATATCGTAGTATTTCTTTTTATTATAATATATGGTCAAAAATATACGTACATTGAAACAAATATAGTGAGAGAAACTCAAACAAAAAATTACATGAACGATATTTGCTAAAAAGATTTGAGTAATGTTTTTAGTAAAAATGTACAATACTGAAATTGAGTTGACTAAACTTACGATTCGAGTTGCTTTGATAAATATTAAATTTTATCATGTGTATCTTATAAAGCTTTCACAAAGAGAAAATTATAACATACTTAATAACACACTATTATTTATATTATTGCTGCCATAAACTTAATCTTCTTTTATCGCATTGTTGCTCCAGGGTGATTCCGGCGGACCTTTGGTAGTCAATGACGCCGGATCCGTCGTTCAAGTCGGAATCGTTTCTTTCGGTCGACCTTGCGCGGTTGGATATCCGGACGTATACACGCGAGTGTACTCTTTCAGGAATTGGATTGCCGAAAATAAGAAGTAAATAACTAAGGAATTATTCGACGACATTTATAACAATAAGAATATCTTGTAATTGGCTTTTGCACTAGGTTAAAATGAAAAAATGATTCGTGATACTCGCGAAATTAAAAAAAAAAAATGTACTCTTATGTATCCCGAATAAACGTAACTTCAGAAACATAATGCTGAATTTCAATTCGAATTTTAGACACCCTTATTCAATATTTGGCGATGGAGCACTAAATAAACTTTATTATAAACACCGTGCAAGTATCATAAAATTACCATAAAAATTCAGAAATCACAGCACATATTTTTTTACTAAAATCTTTACGTGATAGACGAAAGATTTGTTGGTGTACGAAACGAAATATCAGCGTTTCCCTACAACGTTATTTAACTCTAATATTATAATATATAGTGTGTGTGAAAACTTCGTACAAGCGCTCTTGTATAGGTAAGATAGATTAAATTGTACCATTTTGTAAAATTCGCAATAGTTAATGCAAAAATAATTAGTCTATATGAACTAATGAGTGCACGGGAAGCGATAGGCCAAACTCTCTATGCATGTACAAGAAAAAATGACTTTGACTGATCGTTTGATATGTATGACGCGTATGTAGTCGTAAAAAACTGCCGTATTCTTCGATAGTGACGGTGAGATTTAACTCCAGAGTAGCCTGTCGTTATTATAGTTACCTATGTAGCGGTTCATCAAAGCGGAAATTTTCATGAAACTGGTAAGAAATGTCAGATTCGATTTAAAGCAATCGATACCTACAAGTATTTATTTTTGGGTTGTCGGTTGAAGTTCGTATGAGTTTCAACAGATGCCTTTATGAGTGTTGCGCAAGCTGTCAAAGTGATTGAAGATATGTCTAGACGGAAAAAATAGATATAGCTCACATAACTAGAAACATTTAAGAAACATATAGATGCATGACCCTACTTATCTTTGTATGATAGGTATGAATGATATAACTGATTATTTTAGCCTGTCAGCTGCCATCAATGTAATTGCGTGTGATCCGGCAAGCAGATCAGTTGATTGGGAAGGCTATGCTGCAAAACAACTATATTAGAAAAAAGGTTACTCCTTACTCTAAACCCAAAGATATCACGGTATAAAAGAAAAACACCGGTGTAGTCGCTTTCAAGTTTCTCTTTACTTCTATCGTTTCATGGAACTGTGGAGAAGTTATATGGATCTCTAAAAAAACGTCATGTTCTGTGTGGATATACATTACTTTCAAGCATATCTATATATTTATTCTATAGATTTAATATATATAACATACATACAGACATAATATAGTGGCTACAAATATGACAAATAAAATATTATTCCTTTGTCGTTCATTATATTCATAAATTTTCTCACATTTGTTCACGCTATTAAATTAGCACGAGATGTATTAATTATTTTAAGATTAAGTAAACATATGTCACAATCGATATCGACGTTATCGTACATTATATGAGATATAGTGAAGTATCTGGGCCAGATAAAATTAAACTACAAAACTGTGACCGGTATTTCTCAGATAAACGATGATTTCCCGATATTCTTGAAATACGGAGGTGGAAAAAGTGTGTTAATTCTTTGTAATATTTTTTGTCATAACATAATAAAATTTTATTTTTAAATCTTTTTTTGTGCCATGTACTTTTGAGTATTAACAAATACGATAAGAAAATAAAACGATAATAAAAGTGCATACTGCGAGATTAATTTGAGCGTCATATATAAGGCAACACTATATAAGACAAGCGATAATTTTATGAATAAAAATTTTAAGTGATTCTAAAAGTACTTTATAGTAATATTTCCAAAACTTTCAAAAATTTTATATTTCTTAACACACCTCTACCATTCATGATTTTTTCTTAATTAACAATTGTTTTTAACCAAATGAAAGAATATTCCGTGCCGAATTCAACGACATATGACAAAGTTTTATTCCGAAAAATTATTTTTCTTAAATCAGAGGACATCTGTACGTTATCAGTAGAAAGTTTACCCGCCCAATATATAGCGTCCACATTCTTTTCGCACTTTTTTATAACAAGAGGTATCGATTAGTACAGACTTGCAGAATACATAACCATAAAATATTTTGATATATAAAACAACAATTAAAACACTGATGTAAGCCTATTTCCGGAAAGGGAGTATAAATGTATATCACATTATATGAATTAGTATATTCACAAATACATTTTTCTTCTTTTTTTATAGTTCCAGCAATATTCGTTCCGAAAGAAAAAAGATTTCACAGGAATGTTACATATGGGCATGTATGAAAAATACGTGTTCCTAACTTTGATCTAGACTTCAATAAATTGCAAACTTATCGTAATCGAAGGACACTTTTGTGCGTTTCCTCATCAAATAAACGTCAGAATTTTCTTAGTCTTTTAAAAAAAAGGTGAGGGTAAAAATAAATACATGATCCTCGTTAAAAGTCTTATCGAACTACAGATTAGAGGTATACATTACAACATCGATGAAATGTGTATTCAGAGAAACGTCACTATCACATGCACTGTAATTCCAATCTCTTTCACAAGTGATTTCACAAGTGATTTCAAGTAAAGCATATATAAACTCAAAAAAACATCTTTGCTCTAATCAGTGTCAGTAAATCTACAATCGATATGGGTGCATACTTTCTTCTCATATTCGTCGCTCTGGCATGCGCCGCTCAGGGTTAGTTCACAAATAATATAAAAATCACAAGAACTAAATAAATAGATGCTCCATGAGAACATCTTTGAAATTGACGTGGAATCGACTTCCTTACGTGGATCTCACATGAATGCTTTCATCCGGTGGCAGCTGAAATAATTTGTTGTTTAAATAATTAATGCAATTTTTATCGAAAACAAGTCCATCTATCTGTTTTTCTTAGAATTTGTCAACAAACTTTTTATTCTCTCAAACTAACTATATGCACTACAGAGAAAAAATCTGTCCACTGTATTTTAGTATAGCTATAAAGTTTCTATTGTCGGATAGAATCATTGCATCGTGCAGTATATTCGCAACAATATATAAATGCACATATATGCAAACTGTGTTCTGTAACATATGTATTTTTTGTTCTAACAATAATGTGCAACATGAATACGAAACTAATATGTATATGTTCTTTCGCATCTTCAAGGTGGTCTGATTCCTCACATTATCGGAGGCAGAGATGCTCCCATCGGCAAATATCCGTACCAAGTATCGTTGAAATACTTTGACTCACATACGTGCGGCGGATCCATCATTGACAATCGTAACATTCTGACAGCAGCTCATTGCATCGAGTATGTTTCACATATCGTTCGCGGCAATTTTTATGAAATACAGTTGTTAATTTTTCACTTCTACTTATCTTTTATTAGGAAGAAATATTTACAATCTTTAAAAGTTCACGCTGGCACAAATTTTCAAAACGAGACGGGCGACGTTTATTTAGCGGAATCTGTTAGTATTCATGCAAACTACTCAGGAGTAAAATTTATTAATGACATTGGCTTAATTCATCTTAAAACACCGATTGAGTTCAATACGAAGGTGCAACCGATACAGCTTACGACTAGTAACGTCGATAACGGACCATGCAAATTAAGTGGATGGGGAACTACTAATGTACGTAATACATACGAAGGAAAACTCGCATTCTGTTCTTATTTGCATGAATTTTAATGCTAACATAATAATTTATTTTCTTCAGGGTGATAGAAGTGCTTCGAACAACTTGCAAGAAATCGACTTGCAACTATACCCTTACGAGAAATGCAGAGTAGCCTACAACTTTCTACAGAAAAACCACATTTGTACCTTGACCAAAATAGGAGAAGGCGCATGTTTTGTAAGTTTTTTGCATCGATATTATATAGAATATCGTAGTATTTCTTTTTATTATAATATATGGTCAAAAATATATGTACATTGAAACAAATACAGTGAAAGAAACTCAAACAAAAAATTAAATGAACAAATTTTACTAAAAAATTTGAGTAATTATGTACAATACTGAAATTGGGTTTACTAAACTTGCGATTCGAGTTGCTTTGATAAATATTTTTTACCGTGAATTTCTTATAAAGTTTTCACAAAGAGAAGATTATAACACACAATTACTTTCACTATTGCTGTCATAAACTTAATCTTCTTTTATCACATTGTTGTTCCAGGGTGATTCCGGCGGACCTTTGATAGTCGATGGCGTTCAAGTCGGAATCGTTTCTTTCGGTCGACTTTGCGCGTTTGGATTTCCGGACGTATACACGCGAGTGTACTCTTTCAGGAATTGGATTGCAGAAAATAGGAAGTACTAAGGAATTATTCGACGATATTTATAACAATAAGAATATCATGTAATTGACTTTTATACTCGATCAAAATGAGAAAATGATTTAATTGCTATGTGATATTCACGGAATTGTTAAAAGAAAATGTATTTTCATGTATCCCGAATAAACGTAACTTCAAAAATATAATGCTGTCTAAGATGATTCCGGTGGGCCTTTGGTGGTCAAAGATGTTCAAGTCGGAATCGTCTCATTCGGTTACCCATGTGCGATCGGACGTATACATATCGCGAATATACTCTTTCAGGAATTGAATCGATGAAAGTAGGACTAAGTTTTAAGGAATTATTCGATAACATTTATAACGATAAGCATATCACGGAATTAGCTTTCGTAAACGGTCGATTGGAAAAAAACGGATTTGATTTGATTTGTATCTTAATCACGAGAAGTTGATTATATACGATAGCTTCTTTCGAAATTGCAAGATTTTTCCGATTTGTAAAGAACAAAGCATACTTTCATGTATCACGAATAAACTTCAAAGAAATAATGTTGTATTTCAATTTAAATTTTAGTTACTCGGTCTCTCTCTGGCGAATGAGAATTTCATAATTACCATAAATATCACACTATAAGTACCATATGAATAGTATATTCTCCTTTATCATAAATTCCATACCACAAACGCTATAATAATTACCATAAAAACAGAAATAATATCACGGGAGAATTTTTTTAGTAGGATCATTACGTGACAGCTAATGAATTTGTTAGTGTGTAACATAATCGTTATATGATTTGGATATTATATGAATACGATGCTATGTTCTATCTTGTTATATAATCAAACTTTTAACAAGTAGATTTTCTAGTAATTATTCTATTACTAATTATTTTAATTTTTAATATTTGATGTACATATATATTTTTTATACTTTTTATATTTAATATTAAGATATTATGTTAATCTATACAATCATTTTTATTTTTCATATATTATATAATATCAAAATGTGTTATATTAATGATCCATGTAATATATAACGAAAATAAATAACGAAATATGAAATTTAGAAAAATATTAAACCATTAAGCCAGAAAATGTAATAAAAATGTGTTAATTTATCATGTAAATCTCTCGATATTATTTTTGTGCAGAAAGTATAAGGTTAAATTTTTGTACAAAACCCAACAAGCAGCTTTATGTAACTGCTCAATATCTTTAACTTGCAAATTTTTATGTGGCTAAAACAATTTGCATTTATAAAATTATAAACTGAAATGTTAATCATTCATACTTAAAACCTCTTGATATCATTACTTTTGTACAGAGAATAAGATTAAATTAACATAGCTCCTAATTAATGTTTAATATAATAACCTTCTTTCAGAAACAATTTTTTTAGTGCAATTTTTCAAAAGTTTTTTATTTTGTATTTTTTAGTATAGATTTAACCACAGACGGAATAGAGACAGTGTTTATATCTATGACAAGTTGATCGTCATTCCTTATCTCTCGTTTGTTATATTTATAAATTGTCTTTCTTTTGTTTACGCAACCAATTAGCACAAGACGTGCCGATACTTCTAAAAAATTAATTAAGCATGTATCACGATCAATATATCGGTGTTATCATAAATTGTAAGAGATACAGAGAAGTATTTAGACCAGATAAAAATAAACTGCCCGCAAAACCGGGATCCATCCTTTTTAAATAAGTGGCAGGGATTCCCCAGTCTTCTAACAAAATGGCGGCGGCAAAAATATAAGAACGTTATCCGTGTTACCACTCATACCGATCTACATTAGAGGTTCAATTCGCGGTGACGTTGTGTTTTATCATATTCGATAGGAAACCAATTAAATGTTCATGTAGAAACGTCACAATCACGTGAGCCGTATCTCAATCGTAAGCGATTTTGAAACATATATAAACCCGGGAATGCACCTTTATTCCAATAAGTCTGCAAGAATGGGTGCGTACGCTCTTCTCGTGTTCATTGCGCTGGCATGCGCCGTTCAGGGTGAGTATAAAAATTATTTAACAAAAATCTCATGTACAAAATAAATGAGCGACAGCGGCAACAATGTGTTCCTCTGATAATTCATGTAACTTTTACCGAGAATAGTCATTATTAATGTTAGTTAATTAATTTTTTTTAAGTATCGGCACGTCTTTTGCTATCTCTCACAGAATTTGTCACTGAACTTTTAATCCACAACAACTGACTACATACATCGAAAAAAAAGGTTTATTTAGTTAACTTAAATATTGTAGGAAATGACTATGACTATATGACTATTAAACCATATTGAATCACATTAAAATTATAATTACTTCCGTCGTCAACAATATCTTTCGTTGCTCAAACGAAAAAATAGTGGCGGCAAGAAACATGGAAGATTATTACGTTATTGACATGATAGTGATATTTATACATCAAAAATGTTTTTTCTAACTATAATTATTTCAATATGCATTTAATTATCACAACACTTTTCAGTGCAGCTATAACGTTCCTGTTATCCGATAGAATTATTATGCCGTTTATTCATAAAACATATATGTGCCGACTGTGTTCGTATATTCTCTGTTCAGCGCGACATTAATATGAAACTAATTTATTTCTGTTCTTCTTTAAGGAGCTCTGATTCCTCGCATTATCGGTGGCAAAGATGCTCCTATTGGTAAATATCCGTATCAAGTGTCGTTGAGATTTTTCGGCAGTCACACGTGCGGCGGATCTATCATTGACAGTCGTAATATACTGACGGCAGCTCATTGCCTCCAGGGGTACGTTTCAAACATTGTTCGCATCCATTTGTATGAATTGTCGTCCAAGTCTCTTAATTTTTCGCTTTTTCTTATTAGGAGAGAAGGAGAAGAGCGTTATTTGAAAGTCCACGCCGGAACAAACCTCCAAAGCGAAGCGGGCGAGGTTTATTCAGTGGAATCTTTCAAAATCCATGAAAAATTCAGTTTAATTCGGCTCATTAATGATGTGGGCATAATTCATTTAGCAACGCCGATGACGTTCAGTTCGAGAGTGCAGCCGATAAGACTTGCGACTACTAACGTCGATAATGGACCGTGCAAGTTAACAGGATGGGGATCTACCATAGTATGTAACGCACGCGCAGAAAAACTTGCATTCGGCATAAACTTAATTGATAATGTAATAATTTCTGGAATAATTTACCTTTAGCTCGGTGGACCCACTCCGAACAAGTTGCAAGAAATCGACTTGCAACTATACCCTTACGAGAAATGTAGGGTCATGCATAGCCAAGTACAGCAAAGCCACATTTGTACTTTCACTAAGGCAGGAGAAGGCGCGTGCCACGTAAGTTGCTTCCATTGATATTATATAGCATATTGTAGTGCATTTTTTTATAACAATATTATCAAAACTGTACGTGAATCTAATGAAAAAAGCAAAAGAAGAAAGAACATCAAAATTTTGCTGCAAGAAATTCGAACGCCATGTACAATCTAGAAATTGAATTAGTTTAACTCACGATTCAAATTGTTTCAATTTCTTTGTATATTTCTTATCGCAACTCTGGCAAAGAGATGATTATAAATTATATATGCACTTAAGGAGGTGCCATATTTGAAAACTGCGGGCAAATTAGCGGCTTCTTTCTGCAAAATTTATGTCGTATCGTATGCACAAAATTATATAAATGCTCTTGCACGATGAGAGTACGCGCAAAAATGAATTGGAAAAGATGAGTTTGATTAAATTTCTAGTTAGATATATAGTAAAACATAGAGTAGCGCACTTTTATCGCATTCATATATATCGCACTTATATCTACGTAAGATCTATATATGTAAGAAAAATACAAAAAGAGTACCGTGTCAGTGTTTATAGTTCGTATTAATAGTTGGATCTTATTATATTCAAGATCGTCTCAAGTTCATCTTCAGACGTTTCGTAACTAACGAAATGAACTGTACAACATCTGAAGATGAACTCATCGACGATCTTTGATATAAGATCCGACTATTAATATCCCAGTCAGCAGAACATCCAAAATCGACGCATAAGACAACATTAAAATCTTTTTAAGAGTTCTTAAAGAAATGTCTTAATATATGCGTGGACACTTGCAAAACTTCTGTGTATAAGAATTGTTGCTAATGAAGAACAAAAACAGAATTGAAATGAAATAATGACCTGAAGATCATATTCCGCTCTATCTCTGCACGAACTCTGTTTGCCGTATAATCTACGTTCACGTCTCGTTCTCCCGTAACGTAGTGGCAGCCAGCTCCGCGAGAATGTTAATAACAAATAAATACTATCATTGCTGTCATAATAGTTTGCTTATCATTGATCGCATTATTGTTCCAGGGTGATTCCGGTGGACCTTTGGTGGTCGGTGACGTTCAAGTTGGAATTGTCTCCTTCGGTCGACCATGTGCAGTTGGATATCCGGATGTATTCACGCGAGTGTTCTCGTTCAAACAGTGGATCGAACAGAATAAGAAATACTAAAAAATTATTCATTGATATTTATAACGACGAAAATATCACAAAATTAGCTTTTGTAATTGGTCAATGTGAAAAAACGATTTGATTTCTACCTGTACTTTGCGAAATTGATTATGCATTAGTTGCTTTCGAGAGATTGCAAGATTTGTTTACGATTTGTAAAAAAAAAAGTTTACTTTTATGTTTGCCGAATAAATGCAATTCCAAAGAAATAATGTTCAATTTCATTTTGAACTTTTAACACCTTTACTCGACCTCTGGCGAAGCAGAACTTTATCGTTATCATATCATAATTACAATAAAAAAAAAGGGGAGACCGGGTCTGATTGTCAGACTTTTATATATTGATTAAAAAAATATGTATGCAATATCTCATAATATTGTGTACATCAGCGAAATCAATTTATATATCAATATAACAACGAAGCAGGAAAACAATTAAAAAATCTACTTCTGATCTGCATAAATATAACTTTTTATTTTAACTGGATTGAGTTTAACAACATTTGATGGTCAGTGTTTGTATTTCCACGCGCAAAGAATATCATAGCGACATAGAGGTCTTCTAATACGTGACAATCAGCCGCACCGTATTTGAATCAATTCACTCCAAACGTTCATTTACAATAAGAGATTATATTTATAAATTTATAATGTTGCAATAACGATTAAATACAGGTTAAATGAACAAAAAGTATATTTCTTACGACTAAAGAGCGACTAATAATCACGAAACGAAAGAAGAAATTTGCTCACGTATCTAATTAAAAAAAAAAAAAAACTTGTAAATACCATATTCTATGCTTTAGCTATAAGCCATTTCATACATCCAACTAATATGATACAAGCAAACTGCACTATAAAGAAAAATATTCTCCTTTATTTATTAAATCAGATATAACTTCCGACCAGAGATGCCATAAACCAGCCTCGGCTACATAAAGGGAAGACGCACACGTGTGCGTTCCGAACTTCGGGTGCTTTCGACTGTTAGAAGGAGACAGACATATATTACATCACGACTGATTGTCACCTACTTTTTTTCGGGCGAGTTTGTCTCAATACACGATGTGACTTCCAGACTTGGTCTCCTATAGTTCTTTGTTTCTATCTGTGCGATTATCTTGATTGCTGCAAGTTTCTCGTTACAAAGATATATGTGGCATCGCGAGTACTTATTTTGTGAATAACTATAACGCAAAAAAAACTGTTCTCACTATAATTAAGTGAATTGTGGTAAACCAATATTATCGCGAAGCATTTATTCGTCATTATCGTGAATTGCTTATAAACATTTGAGCACATAGGTATCTATTAATTCGCGCACTATGTTTATCTGTCGCCATTTATATCGTGAGATAAACGTTACAGAAATATTGTTATGTTAGAATTAATATTTTTAATCAACGCCGCGAGATAGGGAATTGATATAAATTGAAGAGATCACGATCGACATGCCACAATGTTTATCACGATGAGTACTCTCGTCGGTCTTATAATCGCGTGTTTAGCGCTCGGCACTAACGGTAAGTTTATATCAAATATATTTTTATTAAATATTTATTAAGTATTGACTCTTTGAAGAGAAGAGTATGGTGGAACTTCAGTGCATTCCGTGAAAGTTGAAAGCGCATAACTGAAATAATTCTTTAAATGACAATTTTGATCCATAGGTTTATTAAAACCGCTAATTATCGGTGGCCAGGATGCTCCGATCGAACTGTATCCATATCAGGCTTCATTGCGATATGAAGGTTATCACTTTTGTAACGCAGTTATTATTAACAAGAGATACGTCATTACCGTTGCGCAATGCGTTTATGAGTATGTTCTCCCCCCCCCCTCTCTCTCTCTCTCTTCTTTTGTCTCTTTCAAATCATTAATATTTAATAGCGTTATACTAAATGCACTTGCTTGTGTGTAAATTGTGCGTACGCAAAATAGTTGTGAACTTCATTATTATAGTAATATTACAGCCGTGTGACAGTTTTATGATATAGATTTGCTATTACAGTGTCAGTAATCCATACATATACAGCGTTATGGTTGGAAGCGATCGTCTCGATAAACCAGGCGATGTATATCGAGTATTGAACATAATAGTACACAATGGTTATAATAAAGCGCTACATATTCACGACATCGCTTTGATTCGCGTGACGGAGGATATTAAGTTTAACGAAAACGTCCAACCTATTTCCCTACCAACCGTCGAACGAAATTACGATGATTATCCTCTCATGGTTACAGGCTGGGCAAAGAACAACGTAAGTACGGGACTCCATCTTCAAGTCTAAAAATTTCGTTTTTGTAAAAAGAATCGTGATGAATTAATTAATTTTCCTTCCTGTTTATTGACGTAAACTTTTGGCTTCATTCGCCTGAAAGAATTTTTCTTTTATTAAAATAACACACTAATACCCGCTTCGGTCTCTATTAGTTCATTTATCATTAATAGACCTTACATTGATAGAAACGACTGACTTATAACTGAAATAACCAATTCAACAAATAATTTTCTCTTTCAGCTGTCCTATTTTCCTGACCCATTACAAGAAATTCTAGTAAAAGGATATCCTCAAGAAATATGTAACGAAGAGTATGATTTTCTTGTAGAAAGTCATATATGTACTAGATGTTTGGAAAACGGTGAAGGATTATGTAACGTGAGTAAAATAAATAAGATATAATAACGTTTAATTTATTACAATGTCATAAAAGAATTCGTTAAATATATATGGCGTGCCACTGTTGTTTCATGTTTGAATTGATATCAGAAAATAAAAATCGAATTTTCACGTTTGAATATTTGTCGTCAGGATAAGTTGTACAATTTTATGTAATAATTGACAATTTTTTTAATTTCTTTTTTTTTTTAAATAAGCAGCTATCTCTTAAAAAAATAGTTTCAATATGTAATCAATGTGTAAACGGATCTTGTGCTTAGAGTTCTGCGATATACTACATGAAGTCAATAAGTTCAAAAGGATTGATATTATATGAGAAACTTTGGCAAATGTCAATATGTTAAATAGATTTTTATTTCCATAGGGTGATTTCGGTAATCCGGTCGTTGCTGACGGTATTTTAGTTGGTCTAGTGTCACTCGCACGTTGCAGCCCCACGTATCCAGACATATCCACCAGGGTATTCTATCACAAATCATGGATCGATGAGAAAATCGAGAAGATCTAATGGTAAGATAATAATGCGAGCGATACTCATTAATCGAACGTCATTCTCAGATTTTCGTCGCGCATTTTGTTTGTGACATATCTCGTCGAAGAACTCCTTTGCACTTATTAACGGATGTGTTAACGAATAAATAAATGTATCAGAATCAAAATAAAGCTTCAATTATTGTTATCCTCTTTCTCTTTTAAATTATACTTTGCATCCGTTAACCTGTAAGTAGTAGGCGTGTGATTTTTTGATAAACGCTGTTAATACCCAAATTGAAATTCTGACGCTACTTTAACGCTTTTAAAGATAGCTTGCGCCCACTTACTTGAGACTATAGACTAGTAAAAACCTTTACTTTGATAATATTACACTTGTTAATTTCTCTCTTGAATATTTAATTCTATAGATTTCATTTTACTATTATCTTGAAGCTGTAAGTGTTTTCGATATTTTGATTATTAAATTTATATGAATGTTCAAAACATCCTATTCTGGCACTAAAACAACAAAAATCTAAGACATTATAGTCAAAGTAGAAATAAATTATATTATCAGAATTAAACCTATTATCTTAGCTCCTATTGTGTTATAGAATTAAACTTTATGTTTAATTCTAAACTTTAAAGTTTAACACGGGGCTACAATTTCGACTTGGGTACATTTTGAAATTCTGGCAGTTACCGCTTCAATCTTCAAAAAGTCTTTTAACGTGACATAATGTGTATAAATCTTCAAAATATAAAATAAATTGGAAATTGGTGAGAAACAGAGAAGAGAGAGTGGGAGTTGGTGAAAAATATCTACGTGTCGGAGAGATGCACGTTAGTATTCTAGGATTAAAAAGATTGGTGTATCAGTCTTGTGTGGAATGAACTGTGTAGCTCTGTATAGTATAATCTTGGCACATATATACCCATGAATTTATAAATACTATCCTTGTACGTTCAATTGCGCAATTAACAATTTACGAATTTTGTGATTTACATGTTTTCTCCGATAACGACGGATACATATTATATCCGATGTCCGGATAATACTGCCCGCACTTGGGGAAATTCTTTGGAATCGGCGGAATGTCCTCTTGATCGCCAACTTTTAAAAGAACTTCCATACCGACCATTTGATGGTAAATGAAGTGACAATGGAACAGCCAGTAGCCTGAAACAAAATGCAACAAAATCTCGTTAAAGTCTTCATTCTCGACATGGTGTTTTTAATGTCACAAAAGAGAAAAATTTAAATAAGAAGGCTCGCCTTTGAATAACTTGTAGATATATTCACGTATACATTCTTTCATATTTCGTTTTTTTTAATATTTTAAGGGATTGTAAAGTGAAACGAGTTTAATGAGAATTTAATGAAATTTGCACTACGTATACATTAAAATATTATCTGCTCGCGCAATTAGAAAAAATAAACCATTCAAGAGCTGAGATATTTGCAATTAAGTTGACATTTTTTTATACGTGTTCCTTGAAGTTAGTCTTTATATTACCTGTGCATCTCTATTCAAGATCAATTGATATATATCTATAACATTAATAAGTAAAATAAAAAGCAGTAATATTTTCATATTTGTAATCATGTATACATCTATTTACATCAACATTATTTTCAATTAACATTCATTATTTAGATAATAAAATAAATGTATAGAAACGCAAAAATTCCGATAAAAATTAAATTTATGAGTAACATCATTGAAAATACGATACTTGCAACCTCCTTAAGTAGCTTATATTTTCAAACTTTATCTTTAGAAACTTATAATTCTCTACTGTGTTTTCCTTTATTGAAAGATTCTTGCCAAGAGACTTACCAGGATTGGTCGCACGGAAACGCAATACGACATAGCCGTTATACGGAATCACGATTGTGTCTTTCCTCACCGGCTTGTCAAAGCACCTGTTAACTAGATCGTGCTCGTCCATTTCCCGCACGATTTCCCAATTAATGCTGGTGACACTTTTGTTCACTGCTCGTCCCATGCCCATTACATAAAACGCATGTCCGTGCATATGTAATGGATGGGACAAATTCGTCGCTTGCACTACAACCGAAAATAAATAATTATACCGTTGTCTGTGCCGCAGGCATTAATTTGTACCGATTGCATCCATGTGAATAAAATAAGTATAGCAAGTTCCGACAATTGAATACACTCTCTGGACAACAGAAAGCAAGAGGGTCTATTTGTGCGAACATCTAGTCGCTAGTAACAACAAAAGTGTCAAAGGGTACTCACGTTCGTCGACCAGCAGTATCTCGACTATTGCGTTCAATGGGATATCCAATTTGTGCGTGCAGGTGCACACGCCACCCTCACAATTGTCCGGTATGGTACTTCTGTTGCAGTATTGGTTATCCGGAATGTCCATTGGCTGAGAAAGAGGTGGCGAGGGTGGGAACTTGAATGATATACCGTCCATTAAGCCGTTTATGGTAGCTCTACCTGCAGCGACTGTTACAAATCAGAATGTTATGCATATAGAAAAAAATAATTTAGTAACTGAATTTTCCTGGAGACTAGACTCGGTTGTGAGAACAAAAAGACTCCTACAGGAGATTTCTCAATCAATTGCTTTCATTTTCTCAACCTTTCTCAACCGAGTTTTAGTGCGGCTGAATTTTCATACGAATGTGATCAGCCGCGGTAACAAAGACATCATTTCTTTTCACCGAATTTCTTCATCTAACTCCTATACAGTTGCAGGAACTGAGATATTTCCCGTGTGATATTTTCCAATTGATTTTTTCGCGCATACTTCGATATTGTTCATTATCTTTATTAAGATAACGATCGATAACAACTGTATATAACGCCCCGCTCGTGTTTCTTTGAAATTCGTTTCCAAATTTTGTTCAGTACCTATCAAGCTTACCCATAAATCTACGATAATGATTAGGTTCAAAAACTTCTTGTAACGTGTACTGCTGAAAACCGACGGGTAAATAGAATTTCATGTCGGGCTCTTTCTTAAGAATTCTTTTGTCTATCTCCGCTTTACTCTCTAAATTGCTGACGCAAATTGTATCGTCCAGCGGTACCTCGCAGGTTGCATTCAACGCGTTCAACACCTACAAAAAATTGGGTATCGGTCATCTAAAGCGAAACAAAATATATTTTCTATATAAAGTCTTTTCAAGTTAAACTTTGCTCTATATATAGCGTGACAGCTGAATCATTAGAATTCGATTTCTAACCCATACATATTGAGAAAAAAATTATTCTAACCATAATCGCACAAATGAAAGACTTATTATAGGAGGAGCATTTCACTAGTAAGTGTTACCATAATACCAGTGATAGTAATAATCTTATATGCATATTGTTATTACTACTTTTTAGATTAAAACCGGAAGAAGATGTACGCGAGAAAAACACTTCCGTTTGTTAATTGAATTTCCCATTGCCTGTGGGGACCAGAAAACTTAGCTGTAAGAACGGAAAGATTCATGTAGGAGGTTTCCGTTTTTGCAATTGCTTTCAGTTGTCTTAACCGAATTTTAAGCAGCTGAATGTTTACACGCGAATGTTCTCAGTCTCGCTAATAGAAATATCATTTCTCGTCATCGAGTTTTCATCTAAGCTTTCTGTTCAATTACAGGAACTGAAATTTTTTCCATGTAGCCGAAAATGAGCCGTAATTTTAGTGGGAATTCTCTATTCTGAATTGTCGAGAAAACCTTTTCATTCGAAACTCACGAGACCCTGAGGGAGACCTTCGTTGTAAGCAGGAGCCTGTAATTGCGGTTTTTTCGAAGCGCCTTTGTAGCGCAACATAGCTAATTGTTGCACGCGAGTCTCTGAGCATCCACCCATGCCGCGAACTTGTATCCAATAAGTGCCGACGGATTGGTTGGCGTGCAAAATGAAATCGTAACGTTCGCCTGCAACGTTAGAATCCGAATATCATTATACTGAAAATTTTCGTCGCGTAAGCAATATTTAATATGTGACGCAAATTAATTGCTGGGCCTTACGTTAAAACGTAATTTACATAGAGAAAAATAATTTGGAGGAACGGTAAATTTTATATTGTCGTGGCAAGTAAATGAATGTTTCTGAAGTATATTATCCAATATTTGACGAACTGATTTTTAAGGTTATTTTACGGAGAAATACTTCACATATAAACACATGTATATAATATTTCTTCGTAAAATGACCTGAAAAGTCAACTCCTAATATATTAGACCAAAACAAGCGATGCATTTTCCAATGTTTTATTTTCGGGGAGCTTCGTTGTTCCCTTTGAATCATCACCCCGGACGCAGCCTAAGGAATCTGAGGAGCCTGGTTGGAGACAAATCAAAAGACGAGGTAAAGGGAATAACGCAAGGAGTCTCCCGAAAATTGGCTGGAAAGTGCCGAGCTCTGTATTAAACAGTATGCAGAGGAAAATGTAATTCTATTACTGACAAAGCAAGAAACGGGAAAAATGCAGTACCTGCGAATGATGTGACAGAATCTACCGTTTTTGGTTCGATATCCAGACCGTCCGTGGCAATAATGGTTATCTTGTGATTTTGTATGGTGAACATACCAGGGCAAACCGTGCAGAACGCATTAATCAAACGCATACGATATCGTTTACCGGGCTCAACATCGATCACTTCTAACGTGGTGTTTGTGACCATACCGGTCTTTGGATCCTGTAAAGACCACATGCTCGTTAACAATCGACAACACAACATCGGCAACAAAAATCGAACTTTTAAAGTTTCGCCATTTTGTTAAATCTTTTTTTCCTCGTTTTGGTTCTGCCATATATTCATGTAGATTAACAATTTTTTTGCATTTCAAGCAGAATAAAAAACTGCAATTATGCCCACCGTTACGGGATAAAAGAAATACAAAATGGTTTGTAACATTTAAGTTATAGAGATCTACAAAAATGCATAAATGTTATTTAAGTATAATTGAATATGTACACCAAACCTTATATTTGCAAGTCTAATAGTTTAAATTAAAAAAATGTTAAAATTTGCTTAAAAATTCATCGTCTAGACAGGAATCGTCTTTCAAGAGAGATAAGAAGGGATGAAGCAAAACGAATGTTATCGGGAATGCAATCGACCAGTATAAAGTAAACAAAACAAAAGTTAGCTTTTATCTGGACATGTCCTGAAGATATAACATTCGTCAAACCCACCGTGTAACGTCCTTTGCCGTTGATAAGTATATTGTTCGGAAATTGACCGACTTCGGAGAGACGTCTGCCCGGGAAATAGTCCACTCCTTGTTTATGCATCCAGTCGTTCATTATCAGAACATGAGTAGAGAGGTCGTAATCGTAAAGGTGACCGTGAGGATCGTACTCGGGCGGTTGACGCACGACAATGCTACCGAAGACCCCATCCATCTTCTGTAGACCGGTGTGCGCGTGCCAGAAATGCGTTCCTGGATTACTCGCGCTCCATTGATATCTGCGTAAAAAGTCCTTTTGTATTTTACACGAAACATTACGAATCCGCTGACTGTACTCACGATATTATTTACACAGTTAAACTCAGACCAGGGAAAGTTACATGGAAAAAAATCGTTCTGTTTGTAGGAAATAGAATTTTTTTCTTATTATAGCCCAAATATGATTCTTATAACTAGAAATTCTGTTTCCTTCAACCGAAATGCGTCCTGTTCCCTTTCTGGTTAATACAACCAAACTTTTAATTTTTTTCAAATCATCACCATGTTATTCGTGTTGAAAAAAATAGTTAATCACTGTTACGCATTATTAATTTTGAAAAATAACTTTCTAGCAAATTGCGTCACTAAGAAATATTAATTTTCTTAAATGTTGATAGTTATGTGATTTTCAATGTTTTACAAAACGGTGTTTAATATAAAATCTGAAAAACGGCTCCAACACGTGTTTAAAGGCCGATTTTTCAAGGACATTGTAATCACCTGAATGCATTGCCGCCGGTGATAGGACACTGCGTCACGTACGGTACACCGTCATAATGTTGGGATCCGCGTTGAAACATTCCATGCCAGTGAATCGACAGACTGCTGCCGCTCATGTGATTCTCAACGTCAATCACTACGTGATCATCTTTGCAAACCTCGATGGACGGTCCCGGCAGCTGTCTATTTACAACCGGTGCGGAGCGCTCGATACCGTCGGCGGGCACGCATTGGCAATTACTGCAGAAATGGTTCGTCGCATTGGGAATGCACAATCTGCAGGCACTTTAACAAAAATGCGTTGTTGAAATTCTATCATGTAGAAACATAAATTGTCGATTAGCTTCGGATCGGAGTTTGGTGGAAGTCGTATAACAAACGTAACGCGATGATGTAACGCGAGAGACGATCAACGCCAACTTACAATCCATTGACCTGATAATATTCCACGATGAAATGGTAATAGCAGATCCTGCGATCGCCCGGGCGACACGTGCGGGCGCATTGAACTGGACTGGACATCGTGGTGTTCGTGAGGAGCAGAGGGGATAGGCAGAACCTCTCGTCGATGGGTCTCAGGTGGTCCAATCCGGCCACGACGGATTTGCTGCTCTGCAAGCGGTGCCGATATTTAATATTGTTCGGATTGCTCTCCGGATCCTTCATCGGCGTAATGGGCATCGTCGTCCTGTGACTCGGTTGGGTGTTGCTGGGATACGGAGTTTTCGGTATATCTTCATAATAATAATTCCTTCTCTTGCTGCCCGGCTGCCTGCTCTCATTGCTGATAAAGCGATCTGGCTTTCTCTCAGGTGGCTGCGACCTTGTCATGTAAAAAGGATGTTCTATCACATCCTCATACTGTCCTAACAAGAAATCGCGTATCGATGATGCATCTACGGCAAAAGCACACCACACTTTCGTTTATCATATTGATGCTTATGATTGCACATCGAAGTGCACGACAATCGAGATATTGTCATTGTGCGCTCTTATCCCTAATCAACGAATGTTTATCGCGAATTACACGATTTCGTTGCACACGCGATTACTCCGGAAGATAAAGCGGTCTTATCTGAAAGAATTGAGAAAATTGATCGATCGGTAATTCGAAAATAAGTCATACTCGCCATCCTGCTCGATCGGAAGTAAGAATAGGACATATTGAATACATTTTTGTTTAATGCACGTGTTACTTAGATCAAATTTTATCCATTATTATATATATTCACACGCACATGCTACTCACGTATTCACGTAGTTTATTATTCATATATTTATAACTATTTACTTTATTCGTCATTTATTATTTATGTGTCCGTCGTGTATTCATATTTCATTATATTACTTAATATATATTATACAATCATTATATATATCATGATCCTAAAAATATATTAAAATAAACAATAACAAATATTTTATATTTATTTGTTATATCTATAAACAGAAAAAAAGATAAATGATGAATAATAATGCAAATAAATTACTGGTATATTCATTTAAATAAAGTAATAAACAAGTAAAAAATAAATAAGTTATTTAAATAAATATAATTATTTCATGAATTCTGAATAAAAGTGTTCTTCATAGATTTATTTCAAATATATATGTAAAATTTGCCTAAATTTGAAAAGTTTAATCACGAAAAAACTGAGGTCAAATCACTGAAAGAAGAGGAGAAAAAACGTACCGCAAAAGACGAACGCTAAATACAGCAGTAAGATTCGCGTCACAAGTTGCATCGCGACTAATTACGATCGACTGGGCCGTGCGCGATGCAGCTTCCACGGGCTCTTATATGATTTTGTCGCTTGCACGTATTATTATTCGATTGAATGAACATGCTTATAGCACAGCTGAGTACATACGTATCTCGATGGACCGAAAACTCAACTCGAAAAATTCCGCTTATTATTCATACATTGCACGTACCAGATTGTTAACACGAAGCGGACGTGATGATAATCCCGGATATTCACGTTCCCCGTTCGTCGTGTCATGTAGATACATCAATAAGAGCCGACGGTTTATCGAAGGAATATTATTAGATATCGAAATGCGTTCAGACTAAATTCACCTGATAATTTGTACATGTGTAACGATAAACGCAGTATTTAAAGAAACATCGGCGCTTGATAAAAATTCAATTCTAAGAGCGACGCACAATGGTTGTAGCAAAGCATAGTGTTACAGGATATAGTGCTTGTGCAAAATATTATTCAAGCTTGAATATCGGATGTTTTCACAAATGCCGAGTATGGAGGAGTCTCAGAAAGTGTCTCGTATAATCCTTATTCCTACATGTCGCATAAAAGCGAATACAAAATTAACCGTAGCTATAAATATTATAAAATACACTTAAAACGTCAACGTCCAACTACACATTATTTTTGCGATCGCGATACGCAGTTTTGCGATCTAGCCGTCTAGATGAGAAAAACGGCCCGAGAGACGATAAGCTTCCGAGCTCTTTGTTAGAATCAGACAGGTACTACGTTTCTAGTTGAATCAAGTATGACTTACATACGTTGTTTCATTATGCACATCAGAAATTTATTTTATGCTAGAATCTAATAATTATCTATCATTCATTTATCTTATAATGTCACTGATAACAGGTACATTAACAATTACTACAATATAAGTCTGTAATTATTTGTATCAGGTACAACAGTGTGAATCGCGAAGTTATTCTACAACTATCGGGTTCTTTGATAAATTCGTTTTTGCGAAGCCAATACTTTTATAGTTGGACATAACTCTATTCTGGCTGGTTATCGAAAGGAAAAAAAAGACGAAAAAATCGTGCCTGATTGTAGGAATATAGGTACAGATTTTTCCGTACGAAAAATCCGTACGAATTTATCAAACAACTCAATAAATCTTTCGAATAACACGAATTTGTTATGTACATATATAGATATAGTCAGTGAAAGAAATGTTGCGACAAGTTTCGTACCCAACAAATGAATTTTCCTGTTGGATCATGATGAATATGTCACGTAGTTCGTGGAAGTGAAAGTGTCATAATCTTTCTCCCGCTGACTGTGTATATAACGTCAAGGTACATCTATACGGGAAAAAATTACACGAAAAAGTTACTGGTATACTATTGAAAAACAATGGTTCTTCTAATACTATACCAGTAATTTTGTCCGATTCTTGTAGTTTTTTCCGCAATCTCACTTTATTCGCGTGTCTTGTAACAGAACACGCGGTATTCGACGCATCTGACCTGGCGTGGGGTACATTGCCGTATAAATACTTGCAATCATAATCTGAGATCCGGGGAAGCGATTGATTCGAAATATAAAATCGGCTGATTTATCCCGCAGTAAGTATGAAATCATTAACCGTCCAGTTGATTTCGAGTTATTTTTGGTAAGAAATTTCCACACTGCGGAAAGCCTTGCGGAACAGGCGGTAGGTCGGATGGGCTTCCAACGCGAAATACGTTGCCCATACCCGTCGCCAGATGATAAATAAAATGACAATGGAACAGCCAGAAACCTGCAATTAAAATATTCGATTGTCCGAAAAACGCTTGAAATTCGAATTCTTTGTAATTACTGCGGTACAAATTATTCGAGCGATCCCTTGTTATCATTTTTACACTTACCGGGATTGTCCGCGCGGAAACGCACAATCGCATAACCTTTGTTTGGAACAGCTATAGTATCTTTAAATGGCGCCAAAGATTTTCTCCTATGCAGAAGGCCTCTCCTGTCCATTCTTTTTATTTCGTCTACGGTGATTCCACTTCCGTTATTAGGCGCGCCGTAGCTCATAATGTTAAAAGCATAGCCGTGTAGATGGAACGGATGATGCAGTCCGGGTACTCCGGCTAAAAAGAGAATTCAATAATAATGCAACAGCTGTCTAAGTAACAAGTGAATCGGAAAGGTATCTTAATTGGTCGTTCGCTACGATAATTAAAATCTACACCGCGACCAATCGCGCGCACTTTCTCGCGGATTTCTCGAGATTTTACTCGAAAAGTAGAGTGACAACTAAGTCGCTTGTATTCGAGTAAAACGTGCTTACTTTCATCAACGATGATGAGTTCAACGATGCCGTTGTACGGAAGTTCAATGATGTGCGTGCAAATACATGGATCTTTGCAATCGCTCGGTTTGTTCGTACTGTTGCAGATCAAGTCGGATGGTATATCTTCCAATTGCGAAAGCGGCGGCGAGGGCGGCAATCTCAACGCAATGTCATCGACATAAGAAATCGTATTACGGCCACCGGGCGCAACTATGCTCACATCACAACATTATATCGCAACATTTCACTTATCAAGATGCTTCAGTAATATTTGCTAATTAATCGGTTTTCTTATTATAATTCTAACGGATGAAAGTAAATCTTACCCATAAATTTGTCGAAAGAGTTTGGCGCAAAAAGATCCTCTCTATTGTATCGATAGAATCTAAATGGTAAAAATATCTTTGCGTCTGGTTTTTTTCTAAAAATGTCTTTGTCAATGCGTTTCGCGCTTTGCAAATTGCTGACACAAACTGCATCATTTCTTGGTCGATCGCATTGAGAATCAAGTGGATTTAGTACCTATATAGGTCATCATTAATATTAGAATTAAATTAAAATAATTAATTAAATAAACAAGAATAGCAAATAAAGTGATAATCATTTACGCGCAAATAACCAAATTTTGTCTAAATTATTCACAATTAAGTATATCATACTGTGATGAATAAGAGAAATGTAACGAGCGAGCAAATTTGTTCATTTGTACTCACGATTCCTTTGGGAAGTGGAGAGTCGTAACTGGGCATAGGCGTTGTCGGTTCATTTAACGCACCATTGTATTGCAATATAGCGAGTTGCTGAATCTTCCTGGATTCACACGGCGACTTTATACGAAGTTGAATCCAATACGAGCTGACTTTGTTGTTCGCGTTTATGATAAAGTCATAACGCTCTCCTAGAAAGAAAACATTCGATATCTTTCACACTCTGAGAATATAATATTATTCACAAGAAATCATATCAATATCGTGGTGGAGTCAATTGTCATTTTCGATTGTAGATAATTGTAATTGTAGACAACGATATTTATATCGCAATAATCCGTGAACACTCGATATGTATCGTACTTCTTTCTTATTTCCTTCATTTTTCTTCATTTTTCAACATAAAATGTCGTTTACGTGGAAAATACGGTCTCTACAAAGATTGGATATGATAGGAAATTTAACGAAATATAAAAGCCATCTTATCACTAAGAAAATTTCACCGTAATTATGTCAACAATAAAATTCACGCAAAATTATCTTTCGCATATCCGGCTTGTTCGTGCCAATCTTTATCGCATACATATGTATGTATACATGCATACACATGAGCACTCAATAATGAAGATTGAATAATCAAGATTCCATGATCCAGAGTGATCTTTATCTTGAAAATGATCGATCTCATGGCATATATTATTAATCTCAAACGGAAAAAACATGATGTCGCTGACACCTCCGGCGGGAGCGTCACCGCTGATACCTGGGGCGTATTATCTAGCGATATCCAACAGGTTAAAGCGCGTCTTTGAATTATTATATTTAAAAAATACCAAAACATCATATATGCCTTAACATTGTAACTAGATTCACACTTGCGCTATTTTCACATGATTTTCACATAATTTCTTAGTTGAAAATCCTACGGAACCTTAATAAATTGCACTTATATTGTGTTTAAGAGGACTTGTCCCAGGATGTTTAATAAGTTGTGCTTTGATAATAATAATAAATCAACATTTGTCGCTTCGTGTGCCAATCTTTCGTATAATTTAAGTGGACTGATCACCTCGAACTTTGTGTCATACCTGAAACGCTAACGATGGAATCCACCGTGGTGGGTTTAACTGAAACACCGTCCGTCGCTATGAGGGTGAGAGTATGGTTCTCGACGGTTAAAATCGACGCACAGACCGTGCAGAAGGTATTCACAAAGCGAAACCGGTAACGACGATCGCGTTCTACTTCGAACACTTCGAAATTCGGGTCGATAACAGTACCGTTTCCCTGAAAATATTATGTCTTTATTATCCTTCACTTGTTCTTTTCGCTTTTTGTTTCAATTCGAATATTACGATTTTACGTAGAGAGTTTACTTGATATCGTCCTTTGCCGTTAATCAAGATAGAGTCCGGATCTTGAAATCTCGGAGAAGTTTCATTGCGACGGCCTGGTATTCGTGACGCACCGAACTCATGCATCCAGTCACTGATGATAATCGCATGGCGAGATAAGTCGAAATCGTACAACTTGCTGTGCACATCGCGTCTTGCTGATTGACGTACGATCAATCTTCCGAAAGCTCCGTCTATCTTTTGCAGTCCGGTATGAGAGTGCCAGAAATGAGTACCTGCGTTGTCGGCATTGAACTGATATCTGGTGAAAGAGCAGGAAAAAATGTATAAACGGAATCAACATTATTCGTTGCGACGGTAATCAAATTTCATTGGCATGGCCACATTAATAAATTATTCGTAATTGGAGCAGAAACAGTCTTGTTGTCGGGATCGAAAATATTCTGTCAAATGAGTTTGTCCTTTTAGGACACGTTTTGCTAAAATAGTGTTTTTCTACAGCAAAATAATTGAGCGAAGCGGCAATTAGTATTCTCAACGAGTCGTTGTCCGTAAAGTAACAAACAGATTTTGCTACGACAGCATAAAATTTGCTGTGCCAGTAAATTACTTTTCTCCCTGTAGCTATCCAGTTCAGGGTAGGTAGTTACCTGAATGTAGCTTGTTCAGGAATCGGGCATTGAGTAACATGGGCCGCACCGTCATAATATTGGGAATTCTTCTGGAATATCCCATGCCAATGGATCGTCAGCCCCTCACCCTCTATTTTATTAGCGACGTCCACCACAATCTTGTCGCCCTCGCAAACATCGATGGTAGGACCGGGCATCATTCGATTCACCGATATAAGGGTCCGTTCCACTCCATCCGCGAGTATGCACTGACAATTGTTGCAAAAAGCGTTGGTTGCGTTCGATTCGCAGAGTTCGCAAGCTCTAAACAAGCACAATGTGTGAGTAACAGTTCACATCATTAGGAAGAAGCGTAACTTGATGTTATCGGGTGGCTCTTTTCCCTGGCGAAACATTAGAAATCAATCCGCCAACTAGGAAGTTAACATTTCTCCGAAAATCTCAAATATTATCTATTCATTATAAATGAATGATGATTTTTAATGATCAAAAATTAAAATTAATTAAACACCTTTAAAGAATCTATTAATATAGCTGCTTGACTCACTCGCTGAATACGGAGTAGTACTCCACTTCGAAACGATAATAGCATATCCTAGGTTTCTCGCGATCGTTACAGGTGCGTGCACATTCAAGAGGGCTGTACAAATCGGGAAGATCAGGCGTCGGATCCACTTTGATCGGGCAAATTCCTCTTATTTCCGTCCTTTCATCGTCGACTCCGCCAATTATCCGGGATCTTTTCAAATTCTCTCCCGAATAGTCATTATTGGTGTTCTCAGTCGAATCTTCGATCCAGTTCAGATCCTCGTACCACTCTTCGGACGAGTTTCCGACCGGAAACTCGTCGTCGACCCAAGTCCCATCCTCTATCGAGATCGCATCGTCGACCGGAATCGTGTCTTCCACCGGAATAGTATGATCTACGATCTGCGATTGTGCATCTGCAACCAACGCGACATATCGATCATGATTTTTCTAAATTCGCATTCTTTTTATTCGTTTACGAATTGAGAAATGTCGACGCACAGTACGCACTCATAGGTCTCGCGAACGCGACGATAAATTAATTAATGATTACATTAATCGTAATAATTGAAGTGATAAATTCATGACAAATCCAAGCTCACCCAGTGATTGTTTCATCGGCTTTTCATTATTTATATTATATATCACATCTCCTCTTTCTCTTTGCGACTTTTTTGTATTCACAAAAAGACGTCAGCAGAAGCAAACAATACGCATGATAAATGACACAATGAAACGATTCGACGTATTTGCAATAAAAAATACGACGTTGCAATAAGAAGTTTTGCACAACCGTAATAACGGGCGACATACGAATGATATTACCTACCACAAAAAGTCAATAATACGCAGAGGATGATCGAGCGGTGGAGGATATACATTGTCGCGAAATGTGTGACGTTTAGCTATGCGTGCCATATTTAGTATCGCTTTTATACACTTCCGAAGATGTATATATAGTCATACACACACACAGACTTTAAGCTTAGATACACTCTGATAAATACGTATTTCCTCGACAGCATGCGCGGTCTTGTCAATAAAATGTATATAAAGATAGAGTATTGTTTGATTGTGTGAAGCGAAGTGTTTTTATTTGAGTGCGTGTGTGTGAGAGAAAGAGAAAGAAAGGGAGGGGAGAGTGGTTAAATGATCTTACGCTTCGTATTAAGTGAGAACTTTATAAATATCATTCCTCGAAGACCTTCGCTCAATTATTTACCAACTCTATTTGTCGCATAGGCACATTAGACAACTCGCTTATCGAGGAATTTTCTACATAATTAACTCATTACCTTCTACATAATTTACTGTGTGTCCAGTTTATCTAATTTCCGCGTAATATATCACTTGCGTATGCTAATTATTTTGAACTTCCATGGTGTGTTCGCAAATATGATCTCAAATGTAATTACATGTCCCCTCGATAAAGTGCTTCTCTTTTTATCTATACAATAGGTATATGACCGATATATACATGACCACTTAATTAGAAAGTGCTACACTCCAGGAAATGATGTGGACTCGATAAAATTTAAGTAAAAAGAAATAGAATTAATCGTCGATAATATTGCAAATCATAAAAATAGCGTCGTATTTGTTAGAACGTCCGTTAAGCTGAAATAATAATCAACCACGAATACATTCCATTAAAAAAATATACCTTTTCATGTATGTTTCTTCCAAGACAAACCTGTGGTACAAAATGGTTTGTAACAAAGACCTTTGTATCACTGATATTGCATTTCTTGCCGGAAGCTGACGCGATCGATTTTTTCGCAGGGTGATACTGCGATATCGAAGCATCAAAGATCTTTTTTAATCTGTATGCATTTAGAGTGTCGCAACTATGTAAAAGTAAGATGTATAATCGTTGCTTCTTACAAGTTTTCCACTTGGAAATTTCAAGACATACAAATATCGCGTTAAATTAAATTTTTTAATTTAATCTACGAAATTTATATGCATCCAGTGAGATGAATTTCCCGTTATTATAAGCTATTATTCGGCTATATTATATTAAGTTCCTAATTTTGGTCTTCACATATAATGGCACCATGTCAAAAAATAATGTTATCAATTCACGAGTCTTTATGTAGATAAAAAAGGCAATTCAAACGAAGGATACTTTCTCTCGAAAAATGATTCTCGTAAACTTGTTTTTGGGTTTTTTGTCACCTTAATATGTATGCTTACCGATAACTCTTGATATTTGTCTTATTCAACCAAAAAGGAGCGTTTATCTGTAAATTGCTTGCATGATAGTGTTAGTGATTGGCAAATTCACGCAATCGCTAATACAATACGAGGTATTGTATTACGTGTACTTACCACAAATACTATTGAATCGCACGCGGTCTCACAGGCAAACGTTGTTTAATTACCGTTCGTAATTCGCGTCGCGTCTTAAATTTTAGATTTCCTCGAAGAGCTGCACTACACGCGTAGTAAAAAAAAAAGATATACGCTTTCGTGATGTAGTCTCTCGCAATATTTTGCAGCTGGAAATTTCAAGACGCACTTATGCACAATGCACAAATATCACATTAAATTAAATTTTTTAATTTATATCTACAAAATTTATATGCATGCAGTGAGATGAATTCCCCGTTATTATAAGCTATTATTCCGCTATATTGTATTACATTCCTAATAAAAAGACTAAACGTATTAGTAAAAATTACAATGTGATACGTGTACCTCTATTAGGTATATGTTTGTATCATTCGATTTTTATAATTTAATTAATTCTATACGTAAACAAAATCTCAATAACTTGACAACAACATAAAATCATCGCTTCCTTATTTCCTTTTCGAGTATCTTATAAATGCTGTCATGGAATTTTATACAAGAGCAGAATAGCGGAAGAGATTGCATATCAAAGTGATTGCATTAATACCGAATAAGACGCAGTAAAGCAATGCATTTAAAACTCCGGCACATGGACTGATAAATAACGCATTATTAGCAAGCAAGGTCGTGTTTAATTAGATGGCTTTAACATACTTTATAGCGAGTTATTTTGAACCGTCGAATCCTAGAATTTTTAAGATATTTAAAGAAGAAATTTTAATGCTACAAGTGAAAAAATATTCCTGGGAAAAGAAAGATCATATATAAAATTTGCCCAAATATATAATCATATATGTCCACAACGAGAAAATACTTGTTGTTTACAAATTATATGCATTTTTTCGTATAGACCACACACGTAAATATCATATATGATTTTATATAATTATATATAATTATACCCACATATTAGTTAGTGTAAATATTTATTAAATATAAAATTTATATATCTTGTATATATAAATTATATATTGATGCATTTTTATAAATGTACTAATCAGAATGTATGATAAGCTGGGTCGAGTCAGCAAATCGAAAATGCCATCAGTGTTTCGAACTAGACCTCTCTATTGACCACCGGCTATATCGATTGGACGATACTAGAAAATCACTAAATCACGGCTGGTGGTTGGTGGTGTGGTCAATTGCAACGTAGTCAATCGGGATTCTTTCGTTTAATAGTGTGCATATAGTGTGTGTTTCCGAACGCAGCCCCTACTACACTAGTTCTTTTTTCCTCTCTTTCCCACCAAATTTCTGCGTTTATAAATCCTATTCAACCCGAGTGGAATACCATTTCATTGATCAATCGAGATAGAAAGAGCAAAAATTTCTTAATTTGATTGGTTAACGAACTCTACCAGTCGATTAGGATTTCCGAACGCAGTCCAAGAAAGAGAACAACGAGAACCATTGCAAGATAGTGTAGTCAGTGCAGCAGTAGAAAACAAGTCCAATGTTAATCTGTAATGTGAGGTGATTTAAAGTGTCATACACGTAATTCAATATCGGTTAAATTATCGTAGTAATGCTAGCGTCAAATTAAACAACTGATACATTGCTGGAGCCAGTTATTAGACCAACTGATACAGGTTATGCTTTATTGTAATCAATTGTACATGTGGATAATGTGATAGATTTAAGATAGTACGTTTCACATTTTGTAGAATAATTCTTAATTCAAACTTGATAACCGACGTGTATCAAAATTATTTATTTGCTATTCATTTGTCATGTGATTTACTTTTTAAATGTGTGCTTCTTTTATCTCACAGCATGAACAAGTTATATTGTGATATTAGGAGTGTTTCTTTCTTTTTTTAATTCTGATGCTTTTTAGTTATCAGATGTACAATATGTTTTACGATATATAAGATGTCTAAAACTTTTCTTTCAATCGTTCGTACAAAGATAGAACAGGTTAAACTGAATAGAAAAGTCCTCTGCAAACAACACAAATTTTTTAGTTATTATTTAAAGAAGCCTTTATATACGACTATTTTCAATTATTAATAACTCAAAATTTTGCGTATTTGTTTGTAAAATAGTAGAAGATTTTTGTTCAGTTTAACCCATTCTACCTTTAAACGAGCGATTGAAAGAAATTAGGACATCCTATATAAAATGATTATTATGACAGCTTATATCTCTTGATCTGTTGAAAGTATGAAACAAAAGTATGAAAAATTGAATAACTCAACAAATATTAGAACAACAGATGTAAGCTATTATAGTTCCGTGAATTATTCTAGTATATGCATCATATAGTTGCAAAGTTCAGCCTCAGTTGTAATTTTACAATTCATATTAATGTTATTTCTACAGAATATTTTGGAATAATGGATGAATTTCCTTTGCTAAAAGTGGAGCTGCAAGCAGATGTTTACATGGTGTGTTTGCAACATGCTTTATCAACAGAAAACTTTGAAGTGATGGGTTTACTCATTGGCAATGTATGTTTAACAAAGTATTTCATATTTGATGCTTTTATATATATATGTGTGTGTATATATATATATATATATATATATA